AACCCTTGGGAGTGAGATCCACACAGCTAGGGCACAGAGGGTACAGGCCTGAGCTTCAGGGGATATTACATGGCTCTGATGTGCTGCATGACTTTGGACAGGTCATGTCCTCTCTCTGGGTTCCCATGTCCTCATGGGACCATCAGAACAGTCCCTGCCTGCAGCTCACTGGGGTGCAGTGATGGCCAGTAGGGCTCGGCAAGGCAGACACTTTGAAAACTGTAGGCATAAAATCTCCTGAAAACCTCAACACATCAGGGCTAGAGTTTGGAGCCCCTCACTCCCAGAGCCCTAATCTCCAGATGTTTTGGGAAACTGAGGCCCTAAGGGGAGGGGCTGGCCCAGGGAGAGGAAACGGCCATGTCCCCCTGCATAGCCCAGTGGGGGAGCACTGGATGCTCTGTCCTCAGGGAGGACAGTTGAGGGCACCTGCTGTTAGCCACTATGGGTCACCAGGAACGCTCAGGCTGCCCCTCCCCAGCTGGTCACATCGACCTCTTGTTGCCCGACCTTGGACAGCAGCCAGGCGTCAGTTCCGATTATCGGCTGACATCGGCGCTGCCCGCGGAACCAGAGCAGCCGCACATCCTCTGGACACACAGAGTCCCAGCTAGGTCTTGTGGGCAGCTGCCCAGGCAGTGACCTTGAGCTCACACGCCCTGTTCCAAAATTCTACTCAACAGGGCTGGAAGCAGGAGAGGGGACAGGACCTGCCTGGCCGGCACAGGCCAGCAGTCACACACACGCCTGGGCCTGGGTGCTCACATGGGAGCCTGTACACCCAGGCTTGATACTGGCTCAAATACAAGTTCTCACTGCACGTCTCTCCACACCTCCCCGGGCTCCAGTGGGACCCCGAAAACCCACAGGCTGGCATTCGGGACAGACAGCACCTGCAGTGGGAACAGGGCTGAGTCCCTGGGTCCTGAGGCCTAGCCCTGGGCCCCAAGGAAGGCTGTGGCCTTGCCGGTGCAGGCATGAGGACAGACAGGGAAGTCAGGCAGCATGGGCGTGTTCCAGCTGCGGGTGAGCTCAGGGCTGGCATCTGCCAGGGAATATGCTCAGGGGACAGCACAAACTGAGACCCTGCTTCTGTGCTGCACAGCGTGGGCACAGCTCGAGTGGTGGCAGCAGCTGTCAGGACCCTGGACCAGGGTTGGGGACCATGGAAGTGGTCGCTGTGGGGCTGGGGTCAGTGGCAGAGGTGGAGGCGGGGTGCCGCCTTGCTGGTGGCGGTGGCTGGGAAGACAAGAAGGGAGGGAGGGGACGGAGCTCAGGCCCAAGGGCTCCCCGGGTGGCACCCACCTCCACACGGACACGTAGATGATGACCAGCATGAGCAGGGTGAGTGAGGACACGCCGCAGCCCACGATGAGCGTCACGGATGGCAGGGTCGCCTTCTCCATGTTCTGCGGGTTCCGGGGAGACAGCAGGGAGTGAGGTGTGGTGGCCCGGGAGACCCAAGGCTCCTCTCTGGTGTGGAACCTCCCCTCTGCCGCCCCGCCCCTCAGCCACCCCCAGCCTCCTGCAGAGGATGATTCCAGAACACACCAAGCACCCCCGAGGAACTTCTTTTCTGGGCTGTCCCCTTCTGTTCTGGGAGCTCTTGTCCTTTGCTGAGGGCGGGGCCTTCACCCCCACACTGGTGCAATCACAGTCATGTGCCCAACGACCAGCCCTTTGTCTCCATCACGGCAAGGACTCCCCCACTCAAAGCACAACCCCCCACATCTCAGTGGGTCAGGGAGGCGCCAGGCCCAGCCCTGCCTCAGGAACGTCCCTCCCCACCTGAGATAGAGTCCGCAGCCTCTGCTGCGCATCCACCTGCACCTGAAACTCCACTCCCACCTGCCCCCCACAGCCCACATGTCACCCCAACACCCCTGCACCAAAGTCCTACCTCGCCCCTCCCACGCCTCTGCTGGGGCAGGGGCTGTGTGTCTCACCGTCCCCCACAGCCCTTGGGGCCGAGCCTCCGAGCCTGCCCCTCCAGATTCCCAGAGCGTTTTATGAAATGCCACCAGAGCCACCTCTCTGCCCTGCTCAGACCCTCCCTGACTCCCTGCCCCCGGCTTTGTCCGCATGTCCCACCTGGCTCTACAAAGGCCCCTGGGCTGGCCCTGCCCACCTGCCAGCTCTGCCTCACCTGCCAAGACCAGCCGGGCCCCACCTCAGGGCTCTGCACCAGCAGTTCCCTGCCTGGAATACACCTCCCCATCTTCCCGTGGCTGTGCCTCTGGCCACTCCAATCCCAGCTCGTCCCCTCCTCAGAGGGCCCTGGGCCAGCGACAGACCGCATCGCTCCCTTCTGCAAGCCCAGCGCAGCCTGAGCACGCCAGGCTGGCCCTCCTTCTGCACGGACATGTTCGCCCGCGCGACTGCGCCGCCTGTGGTCCGAGTCGTGAGCCTCGCTGCGCCCCCAGGCCTAGGGCACACCACCCAGTGGGTGGACAGAAGGAAGGCCTGGCCGAGTGCAGAGCTCAGAGATAGCTGGGGGGATTAAAGAGAAACAGCTCCACAACCCTCCCCTGGCCTGAGGCCCTGCAGCTCTGCGGTGAGGAGGTGAGACGGGCAGGAAGACAGCGTCTAGGGGAGCAGGGTTTCCTAGGGGCTCCCCCACCCCGCCCCGGGTCTGCCGCCTACAGAGCAGCTCTCAGACCCCGCTGACTCTGGCATGCTATGGAGGAGACACTCTCCCACCCCATGGGCTCCTGAAGCCTGACAGCCTTTCCCTGGCAGCCCTTCTCTCTTGCGGGCCCAAAACCCATGAGCCCCAGGGCCTGTCCCAGCCCACTCTCTCCCTCAGCCATGCTGCCCCTGCCCTCCACCCGCCCCCTCTGCACTTCCCTTCTGGAGCCGGAAGCACCACCTCCTCCAGGCAGCCAGCCCTGCCTCCCAGGCCCTTCTGGTGTTATCGCTCCAGCCCAGGCCCCATGCCTGTCCCTGCAGCTGAGTGCCCTCCGTGTCCGTGAGCCCCACCCATCCCGCCCAGCTCCGTGGGCGGCCCTCGCTGCTGCCTCCCCCAGCACTTGGGGTCCGCTCATAGTCCTTCCACCTTCGTGGGTGCACCTTGCCTCCCCCAGGCTCTCAGCACCCCTGCTCCTCCCCCACAGGGCCCAGCGGCCTGCTGACGGCTCACGTGCAAGGCCTCGGGGGTGGCTTCCCACCCTGAATCAGAGTGTGCCTGTGGAGCTCCGGGGGGGGGCTCCGAAGCCCCTGTTGTGTGAGGGCCTCTCTCCCACCGGCCATTCCCCTGCCTCCAGCTTGGACCTCCCGCCCCCGGTTTCTGGGTGCTCTGCCCCCTGCCCCCCTCCCCTCGAGGCCTGAGGTAGCCCCTGGGCTCCTCCTCGGGGTGATGCAGGCCACACACCCGACGAGCACAGACAAGCACCTGATACCCCCACACTTGGCCCTCGCCCTGGGCCGTAGTGCCAGGCTGGCTCCTCCCACATACTGGGCCCTTTGCTCCAGCTGTGCCTCCCTGGAACTGGGCCAGACTCCTCTGTATGCAGAAGCACTGCCGCCCCCACTAGGCTCTCGAAAGCCGCCACCTCCAGGCAGGCCCCTCTGATTACCTCAGGCCTCTCGGCTCTGTAGGAGACCCAGACTGCGAGTCAGGTGGCCTTGCCTACCTCAGCTGTCCCCCACAGTTCCCACAGGGAACTCTGCTTAGGCACTTTTCTGCATGTCACAGCCTGGAGCTCAGGCCTCAAAACGGTGGCTCCTGGGACCAGAGGCCCATCACCCAGAAACTTTACCAAAGCAGAACCTGAGGCCCAGGGCTAGGAGGATGCCAGTCAGATAGGGACGGTAGGGGGCAGCGTGACCCCAGCAAATGTTTCCAAGACACTGGGCTGGCCCACGGCCGGCCATCCACGAAGGTCATGGGCGGCTGAGTAAGTGGCTCGCGCCTGCTCCATGGCTGGCTCCAGCCCAGATCTCCGTGGCCATCTGCTTCCGTTTGCCCTCATTAGGCCTGGCAGCCAGAGCCCGCCGGCCCTCCCACCTGCCTGCCTGCTCCCTCCTCCTCCCGCCTGGCTCATCACTCACCCCTGACAGCCCCAGCTCCGCAGGTTCCGGGTGATGGAGGGAGGGCACAAGGGACAGCTTGGGCAGGCAGGGGTGTCAGAGAACTCCAGGACTCCTCAGGAGGGCGAGAGACTGGCCCTAGCTCACACAGAGAGGAGGCAGAGCCAGGCCGGCCTCCTGCAGAGACCAGCTCCCGTGCCAGGCTCAGGGCCACCCCAGGGCCCTTGCACATGCTGATCCCGCTGTCATGCTCTTCCCTGACCTTCATGGGGCTGGCCCCCCTCCCACTGTGGACATCACCACCCACAGAGGCCCCTGATCTCATTCTGACCCAGCTCGCTCTCTGCCAGCGCCTCCTCTTGGCCCCCTTAGGGCACTGGTGCCCTCCACCCTTTTCCTGGCTGTTTACACGGTTATTGCCGGTTTCCAGCACACGAAGACCCAACTGCCAGTCTCCCCAGCCCGCTATGCACCTTGTGCCCCCAAAGACTGATTTCCATCCTACGGTGCCTGCCACCCTCGTCCTGTCACCGCTCCAACGCCATCTACAGCCCCCAGACACCCACACAATGAGTTCCTGACTCCAGTCTAGACTAAGCCCTGAACCCTGTCATACAATGAACCCTGACCCAAGTCACACGCTGAGTCTTGATCTCAGTCACACCCTGAGCCCTGACCCTGGTCATACACTGAACCCTGACCCCAGGGCCATGCTAAGCCCTGACCCTGATTTCAAATGAACTCTGACCCTGGTCACAACCCACTAACACAGTCTGAGGCACATGACAGGAGTAATGTCGACGACAACTGCCCTATACAGACTGTTTACTACACGCCGCTGCGCAAGCGCCATAAATAGCTCACCTAGCTCAATCCCCACTACACTCTGGGACAGGTGTCACCGTCCCCCTCACAGGTGTGACTCAGAGTGGTTACTCAGCCTTCCGGCAGCCGCAGCCCATAGCGGCACAGCCAGCATCTGCACCGACACTCTGGCTCCAAGCCCAGCTCTGGGGGGGACTGTCTTAAGCCCCTCGCTCCACAGTCCTGCCGCTGGGGTGTGCCCACCGCACCCCATCTCGACCACCGCCTCATGCCTTTGTTCTTGACAGCAGTCCCTTGAGGCCACTCTGTCCCTGGGATGCCCATAGCCTCTGCCCACTCAGACCCAAGTGCCCATGCCCAAGGTGCCATCCAAGCCCAGCCAGGCCCACGCCAGCCCAGCTCAGCCTGGGGGTGAGCTGCCTGCTGGCTGCGCTGTTCTCCCCTCACTCCTGCTGGTATCCCTCTGGCACCCAGACCCAACGCCATCCTCTCTCCCCTCCTGCCCTCCCCACTGCCCTCAGGAGGACGCTCAAGCCCCTCCACTGGCCCCAGGCCTTGCTGATGGTGCCTATGTCTCTGCCTCCCCTGCCCACTGAGCCCCACGCCCATCTCCCACTCCCATGGCGGGGCAGCATCCTGCCTTTCTCACCCTCCCTGGGATGGCTGTAATCCTTCCTGCAGAGCTCAGATGGTGAACTCCTACACACCCCTCAGGACCCCACTGCAAACCTCCTGGTGCGCTGCTCCCTAAACCATGCCCAGGTGGGAAGGAGGCTCTTGCTGAGCTCCCAGAGCCCAAGCCCCAGCCTTGCTTCAGCCCAGGCCTGTCTGTGCACAACTCTGCCCCAGCATCAGACCTGGTGTCCCGTAAAGGTGGCCCTAGGCACTCGGAGGGTCCACACAGAGGATGAGGAACAAGTCAGTAACGGGCTGTACCACAAGGCCAGCCTCCCCTCCACTTGGTCCCTCTGTGCTCAGCGTCTAGGGGGTCAGCCCTCAGCAGGGCCAGAGCTGCCGGGGACAGGGAGGTGGTGTGGGAAAGGAGAGGGAGACCCCGGGGAGCTCTGACGCAGCCCCTGCGGGAGGCTGTGCCCACCCTGCCTCCTTCCTGAGCTCGAAGAGCTCACGCCTGGGCCGGCAGCTGGAGTCCAAACCGAGCCAGACTCAGTCTGCCCTTGAGGGCCCCACAGAACCAGGCAGAGCCGGCCACTCGCCCATCCCACAGGTGAGGACACTGGGGCTCTGTGAGGCCATGCTGCCAGCTACTGTGCCCCAGCCCCGGCTGCCACATCTGGGACAGCACCCGGCAGCATCCGCCTTTGTGAACTGACGTGGGTGGGTTGGGCCGATGCCAGGAGCCCCTGGCAAAGCCGGGACTCTGCCTGTCGGCCTCCCTGCCCCACAGGGCAGCGGCCCCGATCTCCCCGTGATGCTGGGCGCAGGTCAGCCTTCCTGGAAAGGCTTCCTGGAGTTTCCCTAGCACCAGCGGCTCAACCAACAGCCCCTCTCTGAACACGCTGTCCAAGCCAGGCCACTCCAGAGCGCAGCCCTGGTG